AAAAAAAAGACCTTCCAGGGGGACTCTTCTCCAAGGTAGGGAGTCCTAACCGCCTCTCTGTGGCTGTAACATGACTCCTGCTTCTGAAGGTGAGCCCTTCTGTCACCATGCCTGAAGTGGGCCTCAGTTCCAATTGGCTGAAAGGAACAAAACAAAACAAGATATTTAAACCATTTCCTTGCCTCGATCCCCACGTTTCCCATAACGGACCGAGGGGCCTGCTGCGAGCTTGAGGCCGATAACTCCGTGGGTGCTTATTTTCATAGCCAGCCGAACAGGCTATCTCGGGCTGCAGCTTGCCCAGGCCGCTCCTCCCGCTGCTGGCCTGGCTGTGGGCCAGCCCAGTGGAGAGCCATGTTGGGGAGGCCAGGCCACCGCTAGTGAGGGTGCCTGGGGAGAAGGGAGCTGGGGCCAGCCCTTCCTCTCCTGGGAGACCAGCTTTATCACCGGGGCTCTGCCTGGCTTCCTTCTGCCTGATTCTGTCCCCCGATTCTCTCCGTCCCCTGGGAATATGAAGAGAGACAGGCTTAATCTATTTCTATTAGCTCATTGCTTATTAATATCACCACGGAACCTGCTTGTTTAGGCCTGTGCTGCCTTTTCTATCCAGAGGCACAATGGTTGGATTTTTTCTTCCTTTTACTTTCAGCCAAGGATTCCCTACCTTGGCACAATGGGATGGCTGGACCACATAATTCCGTGCTGGGGGCCTGTTCTGTGCGCTGTAGGATGTTTAGCAGCATTCCTACTAGATAGTGATAACCGCCAAATCTACAGACATTGTTACGTACCCTGGGGGCAGAGGGGTGGGGTGGGGATGGACAAAACCACCCCTGGTTGAGAATCGCTGATTTCAAGGAACATAAAAGCCTGATTTTAGAGATGGCAAAGCGACTTCCCTTGAAATCTTGCGGAAGGTCTGTAGGGAGAGAGGAGGTTTCTCTAGGCCTTCGGTGAGTCTGATCTAAAATTCTCCCAACTGCATCATTCAGGGCGTAAAACTCATGGTCAAAGGAGCTGACCCCTTAAAGAAAACACTGACCATACGCTCTCTTTTCTTTCTGTAGAGGCAAGTGAAGGTGCAGGGTTTAGCGTTGTGGAGTCCTAACCGGGTTGGAAGTCTGGTCTCTGGCCCTTGCCAGCTGTGTGACCTTGGGCAGCTCACTTCACGTCTTTGGGCTCACTTCCACGTCTGTAACCATGCTCCCTGCCTCCTGGAGCCAGTCTGTGGAAAGTGCTGATTTAGCCCAGGGGCCTGGCTCACCGGGAGCATTTGGTAGCTGCCAGTACCCCTCCGTGCAGGGAGGGTTTGAGGAGGGCCACGGAATGCTCTCTAGACACAGGCCAGCAGCACTGGGAGGACCTCTTATCAGCCACATTCCATCAAGCCCAGGAATGGCCCTTAGTGGGCCTGCCCTGGGCTTCCTTTTTGATCCGTCACTCGCCCAGGATTCCATCTGCCACGATACCTTTGTCACTGTCCCCAGCCCAAATGCTGTTTTCCAGATAACTCAGATCTACCTGAATGCCAACAGCATTCCTCAAACAGAGCAGAGCTGCCAGAATAAGCCTGCAGCTTCCTGCTCTTTGCCCCAGAAAACATTTCAAGTGATCAAGTGATCAGAGAGAGGAGGGGAGGGAGGGGGAGGATGCTGCAGCTGCTTATGCAACAAGCTTTAATCCCTGGTTAAAATCCACCACGCGGCACCAGTGGCATATTTCATTTCCTCATTGGGTCGTGAAGTTAGCTGCACACAAGATTCATCACAAACCCAGTCGTATTTGTGCCTCCCCCCCTTACCCCCCTCCCCCCCAAAAAAGTAGCACCGCAGAGACAGTATTCCCCATGGAACGGTGGTGGAGGAAACACAGTCTGATTAGCTTTGGCCGACGACTCTTGTCCCCCATTTGGTCTCCCGGTACAGACAGAGCGAGCTTCCTACCCCAGGAAGAGGGGGCCCCTCCCTTCTCTGGTGAGGCCCAGGCTTGTTGTCCTGAGGGCTGGTTCTCCCTGCATCTTGGCCTCTTTAGCCTAAAATACAAGGACAACAGCAACAAAATCCCCTCCCTTTTCATACAGCCTGGGCCCTGTCCCTGCAGTACTGTGTGTGTGGATTCCTGGCTTGTTGCTGCCTAATAGAAGGCTCCCCAGCAGGAAGAATTGATGTACACTTGGTGGGCATTTGTTGTCCCTGTGTGTGTGTGTGGGGGGGGAACGAATGGCGTGGGACAGCAAAGAAAGCCCAAGAGTCCTAATTTTAGAAGAGTCGGGATCCTTGATTGGGCCGTAGTTTTGCCTCCTGGAATATGGCTGCCTCACCTCTGGAAGCTCTCTCCAGCCTCTAAAGAATGGTGTTTACTTAGCTTCTGTCGTTCCACTTGCAGTTTTAAAATAAATCTTGTTAATTAAGCAGCTTGTCTTGAAGAGGAAGGAAAGCAAGCATGGGCATTTTGAGATCCTTTTGGGCTTGCCTTTTTCTTCCCAGGGTGCAGACCAACTACAAAGGCAGCTTTGGGGAGCAAACAGGCAAAGACCACCTACTACTACTGAAATGGGTGGAAGTATAAGCAGCTCTGAAAAACTAGTTAATATTTTACTGGGGAGCAGTGCCAGAGTTGGGGTGGGGGGGGGCGGGCGGGAGCTGGCAAGTATAGAGCTGTGTGTGAAATAGCTGTTCCATCTGCCTTCGGGGACGAAAAGAAGCCGTCCTCTGTGGAAATAAATTTCAGCAAGAATCCTTATAAAGCCCATGGGATTTGTCTGCCCACCGAGGGCCCAGCTCCCCAAGTACATACATACAGGGGTGATTGTGACAGGAAGGGCTAAGCAGTGGGTGTATGCCTGACTAATAATGGGGGTTCTTGTTCCCTCCCCGAGTTTGACATCTTTCTTTCTCCCTCTGGATTTAAATGGCTTCTCAGACCGAGAGGCACTGCCTGTGCCCTGGATTCAGAAGGTACACGCCTCCTTGGGAAGCAAAGGCGAGAGACAGCGGCTCTCTCTCTCTCTCTTTCTGCATCTGCCGGGGGAGCTGCAGCTGGTATTTTTCCACAGGCCTTTTCTGCGCTCTCGGGGCCTAGTCCTTCCCAGCCAGGCCCAGAGTCCGAGAGAGGGTTAATAGGCAGGAAGCTGAAGGCATCGCAGGCTAATACGGAAGTCAGATTTTTGTTTAACTGACAGGTTTAGCAGGCCTCGGCGGCGGTGGGGGAGGGGGCCGGGAGGGGAAGGGAAGTTTGTAGATCTAGGCATGTGGCCTGCTAGGAGCGCATTTGGCTTTTCTTAGGGTAAGGACGGAGAGGGGGGCCGCCCCTTGGCATCCTGGCAGGGAGGCAGGAACCCCTGTTGGTTTTTCCTTTGCGTCCTGGCTGCGGGGGCTGAGAGGACTGTCGGTGCCGCGAGGATGGCTCTCTGGCCTGCTTTTCCAGGAGGCATTTTGACAATGACTATGCAAACTTGACCACTCGGCTCCCCTCCTCCCCTCTGCGGCCCGAGCCTCTGCGCTCTGAGAAGCCAGGGCTGCTCTTTAGTGATTTCTTGGGGTTCGCCTGTCCTGTCTGTCTGCCCCCCAGCTCCCCAGAGGCCTGCCTCCAGCCCCTTTCTCCTGCCCCTTTGGCCCATTTCCTGGGGCTCCCCACTCCTCAGCTCCCCCCGTCCCCGGGTGAACCATTCTGCTGGATCGTTCTAGAAAAGGGCCAGCCTTCCTCCTAGCAGAGAGCCGCTTCTGTGGGGGGCAAGTGAGGGTGAGCCCTGTCAGCTCACCCCAAAAACTCTCTTCCCAGTGGCATCTGGGCCTCGGGCTTTGCTGGAGCAGGTCAGGCTGGCTGCACTGGTTTGCCCGTGCTGAGAAATCTAGCCAGGGTGGGGGAGAAGTGCGTGCGGGGGCCCCTTTCCCAAGTTTTTCTTGCTGCAAAAGGCCTAGCTTAGCCTGTCTTTTTCTATGCACAGGATGGCTCTTGCTCACCAGAGCCTCACAAAGATAATCGCTCAGGAAGTGTTTCAGCCAATCCCGGGCCGCCTTACACTCCGATTTGCCGGGCCAGCCAATCGGGGATGAGCTCTTATTAGGCGGCCAGATCATCAAGCCGAAGTGCCAAACCCTTTTTCTGTGAGAACTAGGAGCCTGTCCTCCATGTTTTATAAGTATTGACATTACACAGTGTTAACAATGCATCCACAGAGGTAAGCTCGACTTTTTAACCATCTTTTCTCCCCCTCCCTCTGAGACATCCGAATTGTGGGCGAGCAGTGTGATTTCTCTGTGGCTGGCCGTGCCACACTCACCCCCACAGCACTTAGGTTAACTTGGAACTGTTTAGAGAGAATTTTTTTGCTTTCTTGGGTCACATGGCTAAGTAGCCATTAGCCATAGCTCGATTTTGCAAACTGGCAAGGGCCTGGCACACCTTTTCTTCCATCAGGACATGGTGTTTCTGAAATAGTTTGAAGCTAGATCCTGGTATGCCAAAAAAGAAGCTGTTTTTTTTTTTTTTTTTTCCTCCTCTTTCTCTCTCTCTCTCTCTGAGCAGTTTCCCCCCTGCACTATTGTCTTCTCTTGTGTCACATGCCTGCTGGGGGAAGAAAATGGAAGGTGAGCAAGCAGGCTCCTCTCTGAGGAGAGCTCATGGCAGACAGCAAAGCAGGCAAGTTTTCCTCTCCAAAGAGGTTCTGGGAAAGCTGGACTAAGTTTTGACCAGAGAGGACGTGTGTTTTTAAACAGAACCAAGCCCTCAGCACAGCAGGGCTCAGGAGAGCGCCTAGCTCCTGGGGCCTAGGTGGGTGGTGGTGTCTCTCCATGGTCTTTTCTCTCCCTACAGGGTTTCTTCACTTGAAACTACATTGTTCAGCCTTTTTTTTCCTGACTTCTGTTGATAACAGAGTGTTTGGGCTTCTGCAAGCCAGCCTGCAGCCAGCAAATGTTTCTGAAAGTGTTTTCTAGGCTTTGGAGGAAGTTTTTGGAGTAGGGATGGGGAGTGGGGGTGGGGGACAATGTGGGTACCTGACGAGCTATGAGAGCCATATTGTATCCTCTGTATCCAAATCTCTATGCATGTGATAGTGCAGAGGAAATAAAATCACGACTGTGGCTCATGACAGCATTCCCTGTTCAGTTGTTGGGTTGTGTTGTTGTTGTGGTGTGTGTTTTTAATAATCCCATGTAACTGTTTTAAAAAAAAATTTCCTTTTTGATCAAGTCCCAAATCTGCCAGCCTGTTCTCTCTTCTTAACTGTGGAAAAATGAGACGGTTGCTTGAACATGTTGGGTAAGTAAAGCGATCCATTTCCTCTGTGACCATGTATAAAGAGTTTGGCGAACATTTGGGGTCTGTTTATAGCAGGGGGTCTTGGCTATAGCAGTGGAGGGCTTTTCATTAGCAGGAACCAAACAAGGGCTTTTAAATAGTGTCTTGATTTTAGGTGACTGTTTGAATCCACTGTTTTTCCTGAGAACCTCAGCTAGGATTGAAGATTATACTTCCTGTTAACCCTCAGACAGGGGAGACATGTGCAGTTCATTGTGACTTGCCTGGAGACCTTTAATTGGGATTGTTTGGATATTAGATAGAAGTCTGGGTAGGTGATCTGCTTGTGAAATATAAGGAAGTGCTTGTTCTTAAGAGTCACAGAGCCTTAAGCAAGTAGAAGGGCAGGAGCTGGTGGTGGTGTGTGGGTGTGTGTGTGGGTGTGTGGGTGGTGTGTGTGGGGTTAGTGGTGTCAGTACTCAGGTTTTAAGATACTAACACAGAGCGCAAAATCCCACCCACCAGCAAACTTGATTTGATTAAGGACTCACTGCAAAACAGATTTGGCCTCTTCCAGGTCTGACCCACACACATCTGTATGCATGCTTTCCTTTACGTATGAATTATTTCTTACTTTTTTTTCATTTCCCCTGATCTCTTAATGCTGCAGTTAGAACTTCAGAGTGAAAAAAGTGGACTCTTGTTTGGCGTTAGCTTCAGAATTTCCCTCGAAGTTCAGTGCATCAGTTTCCAGCCTGGAGACCAATCCCGCATAGCTGTAAATGCTGGAAATATATTCAATTGCTGTGTTATGCCAACCTGATGGAGTCAATAATCTTTTTTTCCTTTTAAATTAGTGTCCAGCTTTTAGCACCCATGGGAGAAAAGGCTCATTTCATGGTGAGAAATGTACCAAATTCTGAGTTAAGAAAAGTCTGCGGAAGGCCAGCTTCTTAGAGTAAAATGTCAAGAGTTAATGATGTTTTATATACTTAAAGCTGAACAGTTGTACTGCCCCACGCAAGTCAGTTCAGACATTTAGCTATTTTCTTTGTTCTTGTCTCCTGACTGTAAATGGAAATTATATACTGAGGTTCTTGTGGCCTCCCTAGAAGCAATATCTAATCACAAGACTCCTGCTTTGGTGCCTTCAGTGTTTGCATAATGGCGTATTTGTTGGGCTGGAAGGAAACCTAAGGGCAAGGTATTTGTCCTCTAAAAGCTCACATTAAAAATGGCTCACACAGGTTTGCGAAGCCAAGATCTGTTTTCAAATGTGCAGCCAGCCCCAGCAAGTTCCCAACCTGGACCAAACTAGTCACTTTTCCTGGGTACTGTGGCCACCACTAAGCCTGAGTCTGTACCAAGTCAGTTGCTTTCAAAGTAGCAGTATTTTCCAGTTTCAGTGAGGGGTTTAAACATGTCTGCATTGCAGCAGGACTAGGTAGGCACAGCAGTGCTGGCTCACAGAGCAGCCCAATGGGGCTCCTCTCTCCAGCTTTTGAACCAATAGACTGGGAGGAAAGGTTACAGATTGACAATTGCAGTGGCCGAATTGAGACTGGGCCTTCTGGAAATTTCTACCATCTTTGTTCCTTTTAGGAAAAACAGATCCACCAAGCCGAAGAGTCTCCTGCATTCCATTCCTAAGGCATTTCTCTCCCCCTCCCCTTTCTTTTTTTACATCAAGGTAGAATGTTCCCTCTGCCACGTTTGAAAATTGCAGAGGGAGGGACAGAACATGGGGCTGTTTTCCTTTTTCCTTCTGCCTCCTCAGTCCCTAAAGAGGATGCACAGCTGCAAGGAACAAACACAGACACACTGGACCTTTTGATTCCTCTCTCCCCCCTCCCTTTTCTTCCCCTCCAAGACCCTCCAGGATGGATTCACTTTCTGCTTTGGGAAATTAAGTGGCATTCACGTGGGGGGAGGGGGAGCAACTGCTTTTATTAGCTCCAGAAAATGGTCAGTGTTCCCTGTGTAACTGGGAATTAATTATATATAATCACTCAGTAAACTTTCTACATAGTTTTTCTAATTGCCGGGCATGAACACGGTTAGCCTGTTGGAGCCCCATCCAGTTACTTTTGTAATTACTAGCTCAAAGATTTGAGTCAGAAAGAAGGAAACAATGGGGCATCGTGGATTATAAATTAAGGATGAAAACAATAGCTCCCCCCCCTCTTTCTTTCTTTTTCTTTCTTTCTTGTAACCCCTTTTCTTTCCCTGGGAGGACAGTGGCGAACTGCTTCAGGTCTTAAATAGGAGAGGAGGAAAGGACTCGATCTGTAAAAAGCCAGGGTGACAGGAACCCAGAAAACCCTGAAGGCAGAGGTAGGTTTTTTGAGTCCAACCACTTCACATGTGTGATCTCTTTGTTTCTTTTGCCTTTTCCCTTCTCTCTCTTATAGCAGAGGCAACAAACATTTATCAGCTGAGAAGCCCTAGGTCTGGCTTTGCCTCTGGTTGACCCTGCAAAGAAAGACACTCAAAAAGTGCCTTTGCCACCGCACCGCAGAGATTTAGTAAGGGAATATGTCGAGAAGCCCTGGTGTTGCTCTGAAATGCAAAAAACGAGGATTCACCCCTGGCTTTTCAGGTTGCCTAGGCTATGGCTGCCCTTCCCCCTCCCCAATCTCCTTCCAGATAAACAAGCTGGCGGGAGCCATTTCAGCCCTGCAGCTAGCCAGGCTGCTAGGCTGTCCCTCCTCATCAAGATTACCCACCTATCGGCCGGCCGGCGAGGAGCCAACCGCCCGTCCCAGCCCTGGCACAGCCTTGGGCACCGTGCCCTCCTGTCTCCCCTGGAGCGAAAAAGCAGTCACCTTGAAACTCTCCCCTCCCAGCACCACAGCGCGGAGGCCAGCGCTCAGACCTGTAACCGTAGATTGCATTATCCACTCTGAGGCTATTCGTTTGGCCTCTGAAAGCAGGTTTTGCAAAAACCAGTGGTTAATTTTTAGGGCTCTGTTGGGGGTGGACCCAAATCTAATCTGTGCATTGGCTGAACAAATATTTTACTGTTGTGTCCCTGCAGACTCCCAATTAATTGTCTCTCCTTGATGCTGTCTTAGGACCGGCTGGGCATTTGGTGGCCGTGTTCAAGCTCATAACACAGCCTTTTGATTTTACCTCGGCCTCGGACTGGGGTGCTGCCCTTTAGCTGGGCTTTTCAGGTGCCCGCTGTCCTGGAAGCCCTTTCATTTTACCTAGCTCCTTGTGGGTATGGATGCAAAACTGGCTTTTAATATACCAACAAGGGGAAATGGACTTCCTTCCTTCCCCTCGCCAGCCTGCTGCTCCCTTGTAACATGTGTGTGTGCGTGTTTTGCACCGACACCTGTCTGTCCGCAGCTTCTGCCCTCACGCCTGCCTGTTTCCTAATCTTCAACTGCCTAATTCGAGGGCAGAGGGGGCCTCTTCTCAGAGCCTCATGGTGCAGGCTCAGGATCCGAAAGGGAAGGGTTTTCCTTAGGAACCTGTGACTTCACAAACTCCCCCCTGTCATTGCAGGGTTTTTTTTTTTTTAAGCTTCTACACGTTGGGTTGTTGGTGCCCTCTGGTTGAGCGCTGCCTGGTTCAGATCTTTAGGAGGGTGGCTTGAAAAGTAGCAGGGCTGCCTAACCACGAGCTGCAGCTATTGAACAAACTGCTACCATTTTAGCTTCAGCCCAGGAATGAGGGAGGCAGTGTTGCCAGACGCCATTTTAAGAATCCTGCATAAATAGCTTAGCTACCGATGACTCTGCCCGTTTTAGGTGAGTGCTTATATAAAGCTGCTCTGCTAACCGCCCCCCCCCCCATTAAAACAAAATGAATTGCAGATCTAGGGGAGCATGGTTTTTAAAATTTGATGTTGGTTATTTTGTGATCTAGGAGAGGAAGGTGTTGTGTCTTGGGGATTAACTATTTCTTACAGCCTGGACCAGTTTGGGATTCTGAATGAAAGTGAAAAAGCTGAAGGAAAAGTCCTTTGGAATGATGCATGATTCTTTGAATTGCTGCGGGGTGATCCTCAGCTGTAGAGAGAGCCAGAGTCTCCTGCATGCTGGTTGTATATTCTAGATGGGTTTAGATATTCTTGGTTAAAAGTCAAGTAGTAGGGACACTTGGGGGAAAGAAAGATCTGGGCATTGTGCATCCAGGCATTTTTCTGTTAAAACTATATGTATATATATTTTTCTCTCTCTCCCTTTTGGAAGTGCTCAGGGGATGGGATTCCTGGGAATTACGGACCAGCCTTGAGTCCTCAGAATTAATAATCAGAAGGCTTGCAGCATCCTGGAGGTGCAGCAGTTCATCTGCAACTTTTAATTGCTCTTTTTTAAAAGTGCATGCAGGTTAAGAGGGAAGCATAGGTTTTCTTGCTCAGGCATTGGGAGAGAGATCTTTTATTCTTTCTGGGACTGGCTGGCATGCCCTTGGTTATATTTGCAGGCACTGTTATTTCTTGAATTGTCTGAAATGTTATCAGTTTGTAAAATCCAGAGGCAGGTGACTTGGGTAAATGTGAGTGTAAGAAGTGGTGGTGGTAACGTTTGTATACAACTAGTTGATGGTGAATTTTCCTGTGGGGGGAGAGACGGTAGTTTGATTTTCAGCTAATATTACCCCTTTCCTCATGTGGGTATCCTCAGCCTTCCCTGCAGATTTTAAAAGAAAAGAAAAGAAAAGTAATGCCAGTTTGAAACCAGTGCTTGTTGCCCCCTTGTTTTTTGACCTAGGGAATCCCGGGTTGCTGGAAGCTAACAGATAGGGAAGAAAAGATGCTGGATATTTCCTAAGACTTTAATGTGTGACTAACAAGAGTTGAAAGCCCTTTCTGCAGATGCATCCACCTTTTCTTTTTAACAATTATGGTTATTTGACTGTGTGTGTGTGTGTGTGTGTGTGTGTGTGTGTGTGTGTGTGTTTAATCCAAGTGACTGAACAGTTCTTAACCTAAATTGACCAAGATCTGTGGGGCATTCAGACAGGTACAAACCTTTTCTCACCACCACTTTTGATATAGTATAAATAGGTTTTCTCCTAATAACATACTAATATTTAAAACGAAGCCAAAAGAAAAAAAAAAACAACAACACAGCAAACCTGAGTTCAGTGGTGTAGAAAAAGGAAGTCCCTTTAGATGTGGCTATGCAAAATGACTAATTTTGCATTCTGGTCTTTGCTTTTGTAAATGATTCCCCCACCCCCCCCTCTAATGCATAGACACTGCAATTTCCTTTAGTCAAATACAAATTATTGTATGCATTGTGTGCACATACATGTGCATGTACGGGTTCCCTTTGGAATGATGGCTTGCTGATCGGTGAAAAAGATGGTTTTCTGAAATTGTTGTGCTCAAAATCCTTGCTAAAGCTGGTGGTGCTATTGCTAAAGTTAGGTGATTATGGTGGCCCACTTGCAATACTTGGAAAGATAAAACAGCTTAACTCCCCCCCCCCGCCCCCCTTGTCTGCTTCAGAATTGATTATCTTAAACTCAGCAGCAAATAGCCCCTGCATCACTAGTTTGCATTTTCTTAGCCTCACAACAGCATGTCTGCTGAAAGTATTCAACTCCTCTAGGCTGCTACAAGCCAAATCATTGTTCTCTTGAACACAGCCCTCCTCCATGATCCATATACCTTTGAATGTCTTCATCCCTGCAGAAATACTTCCAGTGGGCTTTTGGGGCTCTGTTATGCATACATTGTTTCTTTCAGGACCAGACATTTTGGTTGGACCCCAGATTAGCATTTTTCTCTGTCACTCCAAATATGGGATTGGTTTCAAGAAGTTTAAGATTTCACATACTTCATGCTAGAGGCGGAAACAATTCTAGTTGGTAGAAAAGATCAAGGTGGCTATTTGTTCCTTTGAAGTGGACCATCTATCCAGCTCTGAAGGCTGCGTGGGGCTTTTTGTTAAAATTTATTTCCAATCACCCCAAGCAAGAAACCATCACCAGTATCTATTTGGACAACCTGTGTGTGGGGCAGGCAGGGTGTGTTTCTGAGTTGAGAATGTGTGCCTCTTAAGTTGGAGTAGAAGGTATTAGTGCTAAAATCACCTTCCACCGTCACCGTTGTAGTATTGCATGTTAGCGATGTGTTTAAATGTAAAAGGCTGCTTTCTTCTGATGAAAACCGCTCGTGACAATCTGTCAGTTGTTTCTGGTGATTTGTGTCACAGCCTTTCTCTACAGATGCGGTGCAAATGAAATTGTTAACGGGGTTCAATATCAGAGAGCGAAAGGTGTTAATATGCTGATTTAAAGCCAAACTACCTTTCTTCTCAGTGCTGGCACTAGGGAAGTTTGAGGCCTCCAAGTTCTTACACTTAACTCTAAGCCATCATCTCTTCCTTTCTATGTAGTTCCCATTTTGATGAACTCTCTTCCCCCAACAAACATGGAACTCCCCTAAACATACCTCCCTGTGACAGGCCTTCTTGTACTCTTTTGTCCCAAACAGTCCCAGACTACTGAATGCAGAACGACACTCATCCTACCTCTCCTGCCCGGCCTCCCTCCTGTCTTGGCTTTGAGTCTTCCCAGTGGAAAATTCTAGCCATGGCCATTGGGAACACACCCTTTTCTTGTTGAACCACAGTCAGGTGGAATTGCATTAGAGTAATTGTTAAGATTCTTTTGTTGTTGTTGTTAAATCTTTACCTGAGTAAATTTCCCCCCATTGATTTTTAGATAGAGTGGAAGGGTGGGGGGAGGGGAGAGGGAGAGGAGGGGAGAGAGAGAGAGAGAGAGAGAGAGAGAGGGAGAGAGAGAGAGAGAGAGAGAGACACGGAGGAAAGGAGGGGAAAGAGATGGAGAAGGGGGGGTAGAGAGAGAAACATTGATGTGAGAGAGACACATTGATTGGTTGCCTCCCACACACACTCCAGATAGAACCTGCAACCTAGATACGTGCTCTTGCCTGGTAACCTGAGACCCTTTGGTGCTGAGACCGACATTCTAACCACTGAGCAACACTGGCCAGGGCTGTTAAGATTCTTATCACTTCACTGTCAGCCCCAGAATGTTGAAGTTCTTCGTACCTCACCATTTGCACCTATTTAAGCAGACTTTCACCGGCTTGATTTAGGGGTGTGTGTGTGTGTGTGTGTGTAAGATATAAAATGGTTTGTTCTCTATTCAGTGGGAGTTCCAGAAGAGAAAGGGAGAGAAGATTCTGGTGGACCTTCCCAGCAAAGGGGGCCTGCTTTCTTGCGTCTCTCCCCAACCCCCATCTCTCAGCCTCTCTTTCAAAGAATCCTTCCTCCTTCCACTTTAGTGGTGGGGAATAATTAGTCACAGCTCAAAAGAGTGCCATTGCTTTCTCTAAGCCATGCCTGCTGCCCAGAGGACACATCCCTGGGGGTGGGGGATGGGAGTGTGGAGACCCTGGGCCTAACTCCTGGGTGAATGCTGGTGGCTTGAATGTTTCCAGACAAGGCTTTTTGCTTCTAGCCGGGGCAGATTTTTCTACTTTGCAATTCTGTACATTTCCCCCCTGTTCCTGCCCCTTCTTGAAATTGTCAGATGCAGCAGGGAGGTCTGAGAAAAGCTGTTTGCCTTACAGAATTCAGACATCAGAACTCTGCATACCCTGCAAACCCCCTCCTACCTGAATCCGGTGTTAACAGTCAGACACACTTGTTTACTCCAAGGCTGGGTGCTCATTGGCCGGTGGGGGCAGATTGTAATTGTGTATCTAAAAAAATGCTCTTTGCATCCCCCACCAGCACGGTAACTGGAGTAGTAATTTGACTTAAAGAAAGGACAACCCGGTGTCTTAAAAATACTCCTTTAGGAGACATTACCCTTTCTTTGCAATCAGGTGTGGGTTTCTCCCCACCCCCACCCCCCATCCCTCCATAAGGATGGGGGATTGTCTTAAAGTTGGGTTTGTCGTTAAGACTTCTAAATAGCTAGCTGCCCCCATGGGGCAAGTTCTCAGTCTACCTAAACCTGAACGTAATTTGCTCTGTTTCAGCTTGGCCGAGGAGGAAATCAAAACAGAACAGGAGGTGGTAGAGGGCATGGATATCTCTACTCGCTCCAAAGGTGAGTGAAAATCTCGTATTATCTATTCCAGATCGGAGGAGGAAATTGGAATTTCTCTTTCTTGTGGTGGTGCAGCCAAGTGTGGCTCTATGAGCCGAGGCTGCAACAACGCGCCTCCGATTTTGAGCTGTGAGACCTTAGATGGATGAACCCGATTTATGGAGAAATCTCTTTCTGCTTTTCTTGCCCTTGCGTGTCTGTGCAGGTAGACCGACCTGTCGGGGGATGTCCACAAGCACACGTTTTCTGTCTTGACTAAGGGTGGCTGGCTGCCTCTCTGCAGGGTGACTTTCAGGAACCAGAATTTAAATAAAGTACGTTCTGGAAGCGAGCCATCTCCAGCTGCTGCAGGTTCCTTATGTTAATAAACCTGACCCGTTTGGAATCACGGAAGTGGGAGAAAATGCAGGGCTTTCTGGAATTCGGGGGCCGGTATTTGCATTTAGGACAAAATTTAGGAAATTAGAGCAAACACAGTTGACGGTTCCTAATACAGAAACCTGTATGTTAGACTCCTCCAACTTCTAATTGAGGGGTTGGGACTTTCTGTTTGGTGTGTGTGAGATTTCATGAGGCTTCCCCCAAAGGGAAGCAGTTGCTCACTTTTGCCTCCAGGGTGCCTTTGAAAATGAGCGACTGGAGTACTTTTCATATCTTTGGTTGATGAAAATGCTCATCTCTGAACTTAATGGTTGTACCACCCTGTTGTTACTGCTTTGAGGAGGCGCTGAGTGCCTGCTCTGAGCACTCAGCCTGGTGCTCTGGGGCACGGGGGCGGCCAGAGGGCTGGGGAGAGGGCTGTTGACAGACTCACCCAGAAAGATTCCCATCTCGCTAGCTAGAGAGCCACACAAAAGTGGCTCCCTAAATGCGGCTGCAATAACAAAGGTTTTTGCGGATTTTTATGAGCTTGTCATTTTGGGCAGAGATAGGGGTCATCTCGCCATGGCTGGGACCTGGGTATGGGAGCTGGCTGTTGCTGGGGCTGGCCTGACAGATGGAGGATTGGCATGGTCCAGAGAGGAGGCGGGAGGCACCTCCTGTTGGAAGGCAGGGCTGCCCATGTGGGTGGTCTGTGCCTGGGGGGCGGGGGAAGGGAGAGAGTAACTGCGAGAGGTTGGCAGGGTGGGCCCAGTCGGTGGGCGCTTCATCTTTCATCACAGTCCCCATCCCGGCCATGGGGGCCATCAGTGGGGGAGTTTTGAGCAAGGAAAGAACCTTCCTGGAGGGGTATTGTGAGACAGAGGTTAAGGGAGTGTGGCCCAGCCCCCTCCCCCCCTTGTGGTCAGAGGGTGGAGGGAGAACCCAGAAAAGGAAGCTGGAGATGGGGGTCTCCTCCTGTTCAGTTTCCTGTGGGACTTGGACACCTTCTGTCTCTGTGCCTCCGTTTTCTTCTCTGTAAAATGGGGTGATAGGTTAGATTCTAAAATTCCTCCCACCTTGGCCTTCTCCTGTAGAAAGAATACTCAGAGGGACCCTTCTATCTATTCTTCAATAAATTTCCACTTTTGCTAAAAAGAAAGAAAGAAAGAGAGAAAGAAAGAAAGAAAAGAAGAAAGAAAGAGGAAGAACACTCAGAGAGAGTATTTTGAAGGCTGTGCTTGGACCAGGAGCTTTCTCTGACTGAATTCCTCCAATCCCCATTTGACCGAGGTGTTGCCATTTTGCAGATGAGGAAACTGAGGCCCTAAATGGCAATATCTCACAGGCAGTAAGTGGCAGACCTGAGCTAGGCTCTGACTCCAAGGAGGTGCTTCCTTCCTGGAGCCCCGCTGTGGAGACTTCTCCAAGAGGGTCAAATGTGGGGATTGTCACTGTCACGGGTGGGGGGCGGGAGGCCTGCTTTGGTCAGTACACCCCCTTCCCCTATTCCCTTTCCCGTAAGTGTGGAGACCTCTCTTCTTCCATCTCCCTAGACATCCTAGCTCTTCACCAGGTGGCATCTTCCTCTGACTGCTACATGAAGTGTGACCACTGTCCCTCTTTCTTATTTACCCCACTCCAACCCTCCTCCTATAACAGCTAGGGCGATCGAAAAAGCATTGGTCAGATCTGTCCCATCTTGCTGAGTCTTTCCACTGACCTCCCAGTGCCCTGCGGCTCAAGCCTGAGGCCTCGATGCCCTCCCTAACCGAGCCGGCTTGTTCACCTTGTGACATTCTGTTTACCTCCTCCCCTTCCTCCCCTTGACTCCACTTGAGCTTCCGGACCCCTTCCCCTCTGTTTTCTCCTCAGGGCCCCGTGTGTCCTGTGCCCTTTGCTGGGAACATGGTGCCCTGGGTCCTGCTGCCTATTTCTCATCTCAGATTCATCTCTGACACCATCTCCTTAGGGAGGCCTTTAGTGGCCACGCAGTCCACAGGAGCCGTTCCATCATTTTCTGTTACTTTTAGTAACAAAGGTCTAATTTTAGATTTCCAGATAAGTTGTGAAAATAGTGCAGAGTATTCTCATATCAAACGCCCTCCCCCCTAGTTTTCCTATTATTAACCTCATGCATTAGTATGTTCCATTTGTCACAAGAAACCCATCGATATTGATGTTATTACCAACTAAAGTCCACGCTTTGTTCAGATTTCCTTAGTTTTTCCACTAAGGTCCCTTTTCTTTCTTTCTTTTTTTTTTTCTCCCTGTTAATCCCCCGCCAGAGGATATTTTTTCCATTGATTTTGGAAGGGAGGGAGGGGAGAAGAAGAGAAAGAGAGAAAGAGAGAGAGAGATCGATTGGTTGCCTCCTGCATGCGCCCTGGCCTACAACCCAGGTACATACCCTTGACCAAGAATTGAACCCAAGACCTTTCAGTGTGTAGGCTGGTGCTCTAACCACTGAGCAGTGCTGGCCACAGGTAAAGTCCCTTTTCTGTCCCAGGATTCCACATAGGATACAACATTGTATTTAGTTACATGTCTTCTTTGACTTGTCTTGGCTCTCACAACTTCTCAGTTTCTGTTTTTGATGACCTTGAGAGTGTTGGGGAATACTCGTCAGGTATTTCGTATGGTGTCACTCAACTGGGATTTATCTGATTTTTTTTTCATTATTGGACTGGAGTGGACTGGAATAATGGGGTTTTGGGGAAGAAGACCACAGAATGAAGTGCCATTTCATCACATCATGTTAAGGGTACACATTATAAACGGAGTATGTTGACCTTGACCCCAGATGCTCAGGGAGCGTTTGTCAGTTTTCTCCCCTTCCACACTGTATGCTTTAGAGGGAAGTCACCATGCCCAGCTCACATGGAGTGGGGAGTGATAGTCCTCCTCCTTAAGGCCGGAGTACCTACATAAGTTACTTGGAATTCCTCTGTATGGGAGATTGGTCTCTTTTTCCCATTTCTTTATTCAGTCACTTATTTATGTCATCATGGACTCAGTTATTTTCTACTTTGGGTTATACAGTCCTATACTAATGTACTTTGTTGCTCAAATTACTTCAGCTTTGGCCATGGGGAGCATTTCAGTATCCCTTTTCTC